TGGAGCGCTTGCGAGGAGCAAGAATCAAGAGACAATATCTCCGCAGCACCGGCGTCGTAAATCTGATGACGCTCTCAACAGACTCATTCCGCGTGGAAGAAAACCAGTGTGGTGATGAGCTTCTTATTATTACGTTTTAAGTTCCTGCTCGCGTTTGCACAGGACGGGCACCACAAGCACAAGTTCGTTTTTTTAGAGCGCTCACCCGTGTGAAGTCGCGTGTGTGTGTCCCCACAGCACACGCAAGAGCGACGCTCGGACGGCTCTGACTCAGAGAGGCACGGCGCGCATTTCTTTGCATAGCTGTTTGAGCACGAGGCGCAGGGCGAGCGAATGGTCCCACCACCAACCACCATAGGCGAGACGGGGACGGGGAGGAGAGGGGAGGGGGGGGGGACGACGACTCACTCACTCCTGGTCGCGGCCAGCAGGCGGCGACCTTGGGGGGTCCCATGGGCTCTCTGTGGGAAAATTGATAAGTCGCAGCCGCAGCTTTAGGGACCACGTCCACGGCGTTGTGTTGGGCGGGGACCACTCGGACGGGACGTGGTCTCGGGGCGCATGGTGCTGGAGCCCGGCTCTGCTGGCCCGCCAAAACCACCTCCTCGCCCGCACCCCGTAACCATAAAAAAAAAAAAAAAAACATAGAGCAAGCAAACATGGCCGAAATATAGGCCTGCTTCTCATTTTCATCTTAACGAATGACGTCAACGAGTGTTACTGGGCGAGGCGGGTCCCATTCGGATCCGGTCGCACGATCGCCCCGTCCTCTAATTATCAAACAATGATGAGGTTGCCGCTGCCGCTGCCGCTCGCTTCGGGGAGCACAAAGAAAAGTAAAGTTAAGAGGTCGCTGCTCTAGCGCGATACAGCAGCGTGTGGCGCAACGGCCGGGACTCACCTGTTCCTCCCCGTCCCTTTGTTTGTCCCCCGCAGAGAGGTGGACGTGGCCAGGCAGGCAGCTACACGACGGTGCACTGCTACTTAGTCCCTTATTGACCCCGATTGGATAGAATTAGGGACCCAGAAAAGTTTTTGTTGTTGTTGTTGTTGTTTTTGTGTGCCCCCTCGCCTCGCTCATGAATGGCGACCATTCGAGTTGGCTGGCACAGCCACAGTCCGGATGGATGGAGAGTCGTGTGTGGAGCCGCTGGCTGCTCGCAGACTCACTCGACTCGCCCGCCCGCGCCCCGCGCTCCCGGCGTGGTCGCGGCGTGGCGGGCGCGATCATACGCCGCCACCGCCTCGCCACAATGAAGTATACTGTGAGCGGCCCCGCCCCGCCTAGCGGCCCCGCCCCGTGCAAAGTACGAGCCCGCGCCCAAGGCAAGGGCCATCCAGAGCGGCCAGCAACAAGAAGCGGTCGGCCGAAGAGAGACACACATATTTGGACCGTTTTACGCGTGCTTTATATTTTATTTTAACATAAGAGATCTGATAGTTTATAGAAATGACGTATTTATGTATTTATAGTGATAGTCGTTTACGAGTACGAGTTTCAAGTGAGCTGTGATTTTTGTCGTGTTACCTGTAAATAAAAGTTTGAAAAACGCCCGAGATAACACGTTCTGTTATTGTCCTCCATCTCAGACTCAAGCATGATGGTTTTCAAAGAGAAAGACACTGTATTGTTTTACACCTTTATTCTACCTTCAGTATTGGAAATAAAATGCTTAACATTTAATTAACAAATGTAACAGAGCAAAATTAAACACCTTGGCATTTTAGTGATGTCATGTAAAAAATGCCTGAACAGCATTGCGACGATATGTGGGTATTTTAAGAGACTGATAGGTAGCACTAAGAATTCAGTATTCATTCTTGTAGCGAATATAAAACATGATTCATCAACTAATATACATGTGACAATTAAATATATATAATTTTCAACAGAGGGGAATATATACACAATAATATTACAAAAATATTGAGACAGGGGTTGAGTGCTAAGCACAGTCATTCAGACTAGGTTGGGGAAAGGGATCAGGAATGCAAGGCCTAGTCTTAGAAATGATCAGCAACTCAATACTCTTGTCACCCTAACCTTGTTGTTCAATATTATTGCTGCAAGGTAAACTCTCACAATTTGTTTCAAAACTTTTGATCGAAATTACAAATACAATCACAGCTCTGATCAGCAGCACTGAAAGTCTAAACAAATTGAGTTCCAGTGGGAACAGAAATGAGATAGGTTGGTGAAATGGATAAAAGTGATGAAACACTTTTACCATTCCTCCAACTTTCGCACATTTTATTGGCAGGGGGAGGCACTAAGGAAAATGATAGGTACAAAGTAGTGCTAAAACGCACAGAACAAATTGTGGAGTCATATAAAGAAAACTTCAGTGTCCAACTCTTCATCGTATTTCAATAATATGAAATACTTAGCTGCTACTGTAACAGTACAAGTGTAGTAACCAATACAGTAAGTGAAGAGACTCTCCACTAAGATTAACATAAATTTGGATTTGTTCTTTGTCAACAACAAGTATATGAATATCAGTCAGGTATATTGATTGGGAGAGTTAATATCTCCTAAATAAGTATAATATGAATAAACGATTTTGTTTTGAAATATGTCATCTCTATATAATGGGTATAGTTACATTTGAAAAAGGTGCAAGAAAGCAAATGATGTGGTGAGCACACCTGGCAATAGGATCAAAACAGAAAATAAGGATCACATGGTGCTTACATCTAGGCAATAATACAGGTCCACAGATAATGGCAGGAGACAAGAAATCAATATTAGTTCGTGTACTTACAATGCCAGTTTTCATAAGGTTGATCTAATGATTAAGTTAATAAAATCACATTTTAGAGGATATATTAATGGGCCATTTCCAGGATCACTCAAAGCAAAGAAGAAAGAAAAGAGAAGGATTGCCAACTGATAAGGTTCTGGATAAATATCTTTCCTACAAGTCCAAACATCAAGTCTACATTTTACAAGCAAATATTATAAAACTTCACAACATTCGGATATACAGGTGATAGGATCCATTTCTTTCACTGCAATCATAGCACACGAGGTTTTACTAACAAGCATTTGGCCAATGGCCAGTAGTATAAAATAGACTGGTGCAACGTTTCACCTAGCAAGCTTTGGTAGTGCCAATTCCTTTGCGATCGTTTTGACTAGACACAGTGAGAGCCTGCTTCTTAAATCACAGACAGTAGCAACAATTTCGATGAAAGATCTCCAAGCCAATAAATAAGATAAAGAAGTGTCTTGAGAGTAAAGAAGCAAGGTTCTCACTGCACATCGTCAAAGAAATTTCACTTTCATTCAATAATGACACCTTTTATAACATCAATACAAAATAAAATTCCATTCATCCAAGCATCTTTATCAGGCAGACCTCTATACTACAGAAAGGTGCTCATACATGAAGATATGAAGAACCGTTCAATTAGAGAGACTACGATGCTCTTCCACGAACATTACAATACAAAATATATCTTTCCAAAATTAAAAAATAAAATAAAGGAGAATCATTCACTATGGAGCAATCACAAAATTAAACACAGTGCAATTGGTGAGTGATATGTTACATAAGAATAAAAGTATATATAATAATCTCTATGTAGGCGGAAATCATAACCACATAAAACCTATCTGATGTCAATTGATGTAAAAATTATTATAATAATAAAACAAGCATATCCATGAATGGCCGACCATTCGAGTTGGCTGGCACAGCCACAGTCCGGATGGATGGAGAGTCGTGTGTGGAGCCGCTGGCTGCTCGCAGACTCACTCGACTCGCCCGCCCGCGCCCCGCGCTCCATCAGTCTACACTGAAACAAAAATGTCTTACCAACTTCATTAACAACTGTTACTTGGCTGAGAGACAAAAAAAATGCAGCTTGAGTCTTATAAAGTGATTCATTGTAACAATATCCCCAAAGAGGGAAAACAGATAAAAGCTTATTAAAGAACTTACAATCAGCCATTAGCACCATAGTTTGTAGATTACTAATAAGGAATCAATTCATAAAAAGGTTATTGCTCTCACTCTCAGGTTTCAATTTGGTCCTAACTCACACAAAACAAATTCCACAAGATGGGAATCTTGATGGAATAGACTATCAGACGGGGTTTGTAAGGTACTAGGGTAGTGATAGTAAACCACAACAAGGCTACACTACCAAATCTTTCTTAAAAGTAATAATTTAACTCTACTAACTCATATCATATATTAAAATCCACTATTTGCTATCTTTGGTATACTCCTGCACCATGTTGAGTGTCTTTAATGTCTCCTGACGTCACACAGCTGATACTTGAGCATCCTCATCATCTGCAAGCAAAATAAAAATAAAATTAAATTCACAAATATATAAAGAGGAGAATGAATAAAAATAAATAGCATTTCATTAAATTTAAAAAAAAGACAAAAGAAAAAAAGGGTTTCTCCACAAAGTTTCTCAATAAATTGTACAACGCCTCCAGGAAGGTATTATTCCTACCTGAAGCCCAGGCACTCACCGTCCTCCTCGGGCTCGGTCAGGTAGTAGCCCCCAGAGACTCCCTCGTGCGAATGCGCTCTCCCCAGGCGGTGCAGCCGAGCCATCTGGGCGGCGACAGTGTAGGCGGGGGGTGCGCGCCGCGGCGGCGGGGGGGCCATGCTACCGATGCTACCTCCTGCAAGAGGAAGTCGAGCGTCAGGAGAGGGCACCAGGAGAGGGCCAAGAGAACTGCCATGGCTGGACATACTTACCGCGAGGTGGAACGGGAGGCAAGACAGCCACGGCATGCGGAAATGGAGCGACAGACCAAAGCTTGCCTAGCAACCAAATATGGACCAAAATGAATTTGCGTTTAGCTTAGCACCATGCACCACATTACCCAACCATAAACCATGAAAGCAAAGCACCTCGCAGACCAAGCACTTGAAAAGTGATTTAAGTATGTCCAAGAACCCAAGAATTCAAGATCAGAATAAATTCCAAGAGTTGTCTGATTTGGTGCTGAGACTTTGCAAATAATTTAACAGTTGAAGACTAAAGAAACAGTATTTGTCACATGCAACATGCAATTATAATTTCATAAACATTTTAATAGTGGTAATTCAGTTTTGTAACTTTGAAAGCAAAACGATAGCATTGACTTCAAGGACACATTACAGACTACATACAAGTGATAGATAAATCTCTGAGCATACCTTGCAGAGCAGAATGACGCCGGATCTGCGATGCTGGTGGGGAACCTCCCGGAACAGGATAGGCTGCACCAGAGTTGTTAGTCACTTCCATTGAACTGTTGGAACGGGAGTCCAACTGAGTAGAATGGCCAGAGTCACTTGACGTCACAGAACCTGCACATAATATAGACAGTAAAAATTAAGAGTTGGTGGCCGATATAAATAGCACTAACCACAAGACTATGGTACAGATGGTAAATACCTGAGGTCAGTGTCTTTCGCAGAGGCAAGTTAGACAGTGATGTGACGGAACTGCTCTCAGCTGAAAGACGAACAGCTGGTGTATCAGAATGAGACCGCTCATGGCTAGCCCTGGCAACCATGCCAGCCAAACTCCCAGCCAAACTGCCAGCAAGCTCCGTACCACGTCGCAGCGCTCCCGGAGAGAAGCCGCTGGGGATGGTCACCGATCCCGGGTGCCTCGGTTGGTGCGGTCTCGTCTTCCCGGGCTCACTGAGTGCCAGCATCTTCCGCACCGCCTGAGGAGAGGCGGTGCCGAACTTGGGGGCCGCACTCCTTCTACCTTCGCCGGCAGAGGCAGAACTCACTGAGCTGGCGGAGCTAGTGGTCGACAGAGTCGGAGAAGGATGGCGCTTGTGTCTGTGGGGCGGGTTGGAGCCTGGGGCGGCGCCCGCCGGCTCGCACTGCAGCGAGAGGGAGTGCAGCTTCTCCTCGTCCCTCACAACCCTCATGTGACTGAGGTAGGCTTTCACCCGGCGCACCATTTGAGCCTGAAATAATAATACAAAACAATAGTCAGCACACTGCCAACAACGGGGAGGGAGATACAAGTGGGAACGGGAGAGTACCTCTTCGAACATTTTCTTAGGATTAGGAGCGGCAGCTGACTTCTTCCTTCGCTTTACTGTTGACGCACCAGGTTGCCCTCCACTTGCACCGCTACCTGTAGTCAACTGATTTAAGGCTACCATGGCAGATGAGGGCGGCTGTCCACCTGATGGAAAAATGATAATAATCTTAAGTTACATTCCATCCCATCAACAATGGTTTCTCTAAATTTCAACATGACATGTACTTACCAAGTTCTAACATGGTCAACAAATCATAAGGAGATGAGCACATATTAGTCAGAGTTCTAACTTCCTTTGCAATCATTCTAAGTTTTTCAAAATTAATTAATCCTTCAACTTTGGAATCATTTCCCAAATTAATGAATGTCAGATCTTTTTTCACAACAGGATAAAACGGTATCTGGAAGGGGGTTAAAAATTTGAAAATAGTTCCAGTACTTGAAAGTCAACTTTACCAAGCTTAAAGAAACATTAGCCGTTTACTCACAATGGGTGGTTGAGCTTGTTCACTGGTGACAAGTTGTCTGTATTTGCTCATATTACGAGATGGGTCCATAAGATCTTGAAGGTCACTGAACAACCTTTGATACTTTGATGGCAGTTTTTCCCAAGACATTCTCAATCTAGACACTGCACCATGGCCAAGACCAGACACAATAGCAAACATGGAATTGAAATTTTTGCACTCCTTGCACTGACCTGAATTGAGAGTAGATGGGGAGTAGAGAGTTGATTAAAACAGACCTGTACATTAGAGACAATTCGTTAACATGAGAGAACATTGCACTTACGAGCAACTTTAATAAACTGCTTGATGATTTTATATCTCCTGACAATATTTGGCTCAGAGCACACTTCAGTTACAACCCAGAACATCTCCCTGTTTACAAGCTGGACAAAGAATTAGGATTAGAGGACATATTAGAAAATAAGACACACAGAATGACCACAGAATGACAAGTTGTTTTCCACTTACTTCTGCAAACTGGGTGAGCATAGGGGTACCATACCGGCTCTTGAGCTCAAACAAATCATCAACATACTCCGTGCTTTCAATCTGACGAAATATAGAAAAGTCCTGAAGAGTGAGTTGCACAGCAACTTCAACAGCGTTTAGTTGAAGAAAGTGAACTTGAGATTCACGAATAAGCTCAGGAGCCATTTCATCAGGAACCAGTGTCTCAGTAATTCCATTAGTTTTCAGATAATATCTTGATGAGAGACCGATACGCTCAGCTAAGTTCTGCAGTTGGTCAGGAAGGCGCCTTTGCTTGATTATACCCCCTTCAGCCACAGATACTTCACACAGGGAAAAATTAGAACTTGAATCTGTCATTCCAAATTCTTGCAGAGATAGCATGACAACTTCATGTGCAGTTGTCTCCTAAAGAACAAAAAAATAAAAATAGTAAAAAATAATGATAATAGAAAAATATATACAAACAAACAGAAATGATTAACTGGAAGAAAACATCATACCTTGTGGACCAACAGGTATTTACAAGTTTGATCAGATTTGAACACCTTAAGCACATGCTCTGGGTAGTCAGTTCCTCGTATATCTTCATAGCACAGGCTTACAAGGTCTGGGTTGCTATGACTATGATACAGATTTCCTGTGTAGGTGCTTGCACTTGGAGTTCTGCTGAAAGCACTATCATCGCTATGAACAATATCCCTGGATTCACAGAAACAATAAACCCAATAAACAAAACTTGTACGAAAAAACAAAAAAACTAACTGATAACTGTTGGTAAGTAACCAAAATAACTTACGTGATTGTATTTTTGGGCAAAATGTTCATTTTGATGAGAGCCTTCCGTAGTCTATGTTTTGGGCCTAATGTGCTAAATCCTTTGTGTGCTGAAGAATCTTTCTTGCAAGGAGAATTGAGACCCAATGGTGGTGGTGATGCAGGAGGAGGAATAGATATAGAATCAGGCATAGAAACCCCCAGGGATGAAGGCAGCTCCAGGTTTGCATTGGTCGTAGAAGCCAATCGAGCTCTGGGATCAGCTTGAAGGCGGGCAATTTCACACATCTTGTTGCGAGATCTCGATCGAGGAGAGTTGTCGGGCATAGAGAGCATCTCTTTGAAAGCAAGAAGATTGGATTTGACTGTTATGCTCAAATGAGTTGTGCCTCTAAGAATTTCTAGGGCTCTGTTGTGGCTGACGTGCTCAAAACTTTGACCATTAACTTCTAATATTTGATCTCCTCGTTTCAGACCAACATCTTCTGCTTTAGACCCCTTCTCAACCTAGAACAGAGTGAAATACATAAATTGTACACTGACCATACAAAAAAAATATGTAGATGACAAAAGATTGTATTGTTTTATTTACCTTGTTAATAAATATTCCAAATCCTCTCTCAAAGCCACCCAAAATTGAGAAATGCAATGGCTCATCCCTAGATGGTCTCGCAAGGGTAACATTTCTTGTGCGTGCTTTGGCAGCACATGCTATGTTCAATAAACGAAGCTGACCCAGCAGCTTCTCACGCTCAAGGCCAGCCTCAAACATTTCTAAGAAGTCCATCATGGATGGATCGGTCTCAAAATCAGTAAAATGGTTGTTAACCCACAAGAGAACAACTCGTGTAACTCTGTCACGCACACTTTCTTCTTTAAACCTGAAATTTAAGATTAGATTAATAACAAATTTCAACCATTTCAAAGGAGCAGCAAAGAAAAAATAAGTGATGTTTAGTTCATATTTTTACTGACCATTCCAAAAGCTGGTTTGCAACTGAGAATGAATTATCGATGAATGTCCTATGTGTGAGTAGGAAATCTTCGACATATGTTGGATCAACAATTGAATTTTCCTCAATCAGTTGCAGCATGAGACGATCAGGAGTACCCTGTACAAGAGTTAAAATTTAGAGCTTTGTGTGAAGAAAATAATGTGGTATTCTCACATACAATTTACTTTACTTACCCGAATCACCACGTGTCCCCTCCGCCCACCCCCATCCATCAGGCCCCTCTGCTCAGTGACCAGCACTACGAGCCCATTCTCTTCATGTCGCCTGGTATTTTCCTGTCCTTGACTCTGGATGCGATAATAATCTGTCTGTGTAATGCACACAAACTGGCAGTCATCACAGCGAGTACGCATTACTCCACGGTGGTACAACTTGTCCATTGTAGGCAAAATTCCAAAGCTAAAGAAAACCATTGTTTAGCACTAAATATCCTCAGATGGTTTGATTTGGATTTCACAATGTTAAGTACCTACCTGTCACCCAGATGAAGTTGCTCAGTTTCCCCATTGCCATGTTCAACTTCAACATGGCCATTAATTAATACACTCCAAGAATCAAGCTCTTCCCCATCATTCATTACAATTGTGCCAGCCTTTTCAACAACAGCAAATACCATGACACTGCAAAGAGCTCTACGCACAGAAAGAGTCATATTGGTAAATGCTTTTAAATGCTGTGTGAATTCAAGAAGTGTTTCAATATCATCCTCAGTTCGCTCAGACGGGTCTTTTTCTAGGCATTCCCTTACAGTGTCACGCACTGTTAAACTCTGAAATGAATTAAGCAGGGAATTAAAGAAATTCAATAAAATGGGACACATTATTATGGGTCATTTGGGTCACTTACATCCATACTCTCTGCCAGATCCTCCTCCTCGTCAGAATCCACGATGGATTCAACAAGCCCAGAGAGGTCCACCTCATCAGCATCAACAGAGGAGTGTACACTGGTCATGGTGTCTGAGCCAGAGTACGCTGATGACGTGTCAGAAGAATGAGAACTGCGATTTGACTTTTGGTAAAGTTCTGGGCGCGCGTTCCCAAACTGAAAAGCAACATGAATATTACAGAAAATTCTTCCAGACAAAAGAGGATTAACATCACTCATCAAAATATCTTACCGCGTCGTCCAGCACCAAATTAACACCCCTTTCCATACTGGGCATTCCTCCCTGAATGCGCGGCCTTCCCCGGTAGCCTTGAGCCTCCGGGTAGTCAATCTGAAACATTGGTAAATAAGATGGTTAGAAAAAACATTGATTAAAAATTGGCAAATTAATCAGAATTATTGAATGTCCCATGGACATGTTACAATGAAAGTTTTTGAAAACAGTCAAAAATGGCACAATAACTTTTAAAAGACTAATAGGTTTTGATATTTACCACAATCATCTCTGAGGGTTCCAACACAAAGCATTCATTGGGCCTCCTTGCGCTGCCTCCAGTGCGCTTCCCAAAACTGTAACACAAACAGCTTGCTTATAACTTTTCACTACATATTTTAAAAGGAAACAGTGGGTAGCAAATTTGCAATGCCTGTATGAACGGAAATATTTTTACTTAATACTAATGAAAAGAACCAAGCAGCAAGAGACAACTCTCAGCAGATAAAATTATCGTTCAACAGTGAAAAAAAAAAAATAGAAAATTTATAGGATTATACTTAAAATATTAGAAAATAATAGTGAATAAATATGAGTCAGGCAGTAATGCAGCAAAATATCTTTAAGCACCACCAAACAAATTTCTATTTTGAGGTTAATGTTGCTCATATCAGGCATTATCCAACGTTTTTTCAATGAAAGTAAATCAAACAATGGCAATGTAAGAAAATTGAGACGCACAGGCGACCATTTAGGTCGTTCGTGAGGTGAGAAGGACACAGTGACAGTTTGAATGGGAAATGAGGGCATTAAGCAAGTGGTTAGGTAAGACCCATGTAAGCATACATTCACTCGGCTGAGGGGGTTGTGGGATCCTCCTCAGGGAGCGACAGCAGCCTGTACCCTAGGGTCACACCACGGGGTAAACCCCGACGCGAATTCAAGTCGGGCATAACGCTTACATTCCATTACCAGCTGAAATGGAAACAAACCCCCCCTCCCCCGCCCCGTCCCGTCAGATGTGACACCTGCTGTGACATTTCGGGATGCTGGGCGTGACGGGACCCTAAGGGCTACCTTGCGCTGGCATCCTGGGGGCGACTGCGGCTGGGCTGGGGGCGCAGGGAGGACCACGGCGACTTCTTATCCAGCTTGAAGGGCGAGCGGGGCCAGGCGGGCCTGGGTCGCAATGGAGGAGAGCACACGGAGCCTCTGGGGGGCTCGCAGTAGCCAGGGCCCGCAGCCGAGGAACTCGGAACTCGCGACGATCAGGCGCGGCGCACAGCCACAGCGGACACCATTCGCGGAACCACCCCCGCGACTCGACGGGTCGCGAAACGCCACCGAAAAAACCCACCCCGAACAAACACAAACAACGAGTTCAAAACAAATATGTCTCCCAGTGGCCTGAGCCTGGAGAGAGCGGAGAGACACTCGCGGCACGGCCCGCTGGATCGCTCTACGCTACGCTCCGCGACGCTCGGCGGTGTTGCCACATGTGGCGCGCGAGCTCGGCGAAGCACTGGGCGGACCGCCACGATTCAAACGGCAAACGGACCCAGCAGGAAAATCAGTCGACAAGCGAATTTGTTTGCACGGGGGAACCTTGAGCACTGCCTCCCGACCGGGGCGCGCACCCTCCAGGACGGCGTCGACGCGGGCTCGAGGAGGGCCTCCGCCTCCGCGGGCGTGGCCGCCAGTCGTACAGTCGCGCGAGTCCTGCCCCGCGGTCTCCGCGGACACGGCAGCCGCGGCTGCGACGGGATTGGCAATACATAAAACTACGTCTCAACGACACCGTCGGTTGTGACGTCCGAGCAAATATATGTCGCGACGCGCGTTTCAAAATCAAAGCATGTTTGTGTTTTTCGGGGTGCGGTGCGCGGGGAGGGGGAGGGAGGGTGGTGGAGGTGGAGGGGGTGCTCTGCTGGAGTTTTTGGCGATGAGGATGTGGCAACAGCGCGCGTCCTGGGAAGAGTGGGAAGAATGTCGAGTCCGCGACGGACGCGCCACGCTACAGGAGGCGGCGTCTCGTCTCCGGGCGTCGTCGCCATGCCGACGTCGCCCCCCCCCCCCTTTATCCCCTCCGCTGCATTCTGACTGCATTTCATTGCACACAGCACAGCGCACCGCCGCGGCCGCCGCGTTGACCACCGCGTGCCTCGCGACGCGGAGCAGTGCGAGAGGCTGCACGCCAACACCGCGACCCTCCCCGGCCGCTCCGCCACCGCCAAACTCAGGACTCTGGTGGCTTCGCGACGACTGCGTTTTGGGGGAATTCCCACAGCCCCCGGCTGCGACAAAATCAAAGTTCGTTCCCGCCTAGGGGGTCGTGCACAAATTAAGTCACATTCGACGGGTGGGGTACTGTAGGGTTTGAAATTTACCGGTAATTTTGGTTTGGTGCGGTAAATTATCAAAATTACCGGTAAATTGGTAATTTACCGGTAAATTACCGGAAATTTTACAAAAATTGCTTTAAACAGATGCAAACATTTGTGGTATGTAAAATAAATGTTAAGTACCAACGAAATAACTTTTAATAAACGTCTTGGGTTGTTCTCTAACGTTTAATCTACACTGGAAACGCAAGTGTGTTAATGTCGCTCACTTGAAGGTGAGCGAATATCTATTCGTACACTTACGGGGGGCAAAGGTGTGAATTTTCACACTTGCGTTTCCAGTGTAAGACATACCGGGCGTTGCATAAAAGACACAGGTGCGAGCGGGTTTGCCTACCTTAGGGGCTATGGCGCCTTATGGGCAGAGCGGGTAGGCAAACCCGCCCGCACCTGTGTCTTTTATGCAACACCCGGTACATATGTAGGAGGCTTTTCAATTAAGATACGGAGAAACGGAGACGGACGGATTTCTACTTAAGACTCCACTTTGTCTCGAAGTTGGTACCCTAAGATTTTGGGTATGCTGGAGCCCTCTTTGGTGTCCGTTTGCACCTCCAGGCTCATCCTGGGGACGTCATGGGCTACCTCAAGCCGTTGGCGATGACATCCGTCCCTCCCAAAAAATTGATAAGTAGGGGTTTTGGGGTACGCTGAGGCCATTCCCGGTGTGCGTTTGCACCTCCTGGGTCATCATCGGAGACCACATGTGGTTGGCGATTACGTCCCCCTGAAAATCTGTACTCGAGGGTTTTCGGACACACCAAGACTCTAGTGGTGCAAACGTACATTGGGAACCCCGAGTACGTATTTTCAGAAACGACGTAACCGCCGACCACTTGAGATCGCCGACGAGGGCCCCAGGATGACCCAGTAGGTTCAAAGGACACCAGAAAAATGCTCCAGCATACCCGAAAACACCAGGGTATACCCACTACTTCGACACAAACAGGAGTTATAAGTGGAAATCCGTCCGTCCATATCTTAACCGAAAAGCCTGTTTTTTTTTCCCTTGCCTTAAAAACCCACAATAAGAACAAAAGAAGAACTAAAGATCGAGAAGACCTAACAAAAGGAAATATAAAATATAAGCTGTTTGTTCAAACACACAAAGGGCTCAAAGTGTTCGTTTTGGGTTCAAAAAGAGAAGAATTTTGAGGGTTTTAAGCAATTTGGGTAATTTACCGGTAATTTTCGGTCCAATATTACCGGTAAATTTCCGAAAGTTACCGGGTAATTTTCCGGAAATTTACCCACCTTTCAAACCCTAGGGTACTGTTATCACGGCACCATATTCGAACTCAGCGTTGCAAACGAAAGTGTTTGGGGGCCATGATAATTATATCCCCGTAGGTAGCCTAAGTACTTTCCGGGTGGGGTGATTTTATCATAGCGGCTAAAAAAGCTTCCACTTTCCACTCTGAACTCGAATAGAGGGCCGTGAAAAAAGTACCCCACATCTGGAAATGGCGTATTTAGTGCACAGCCCTTAGGCAAACCGCCTAGAGGGGTTGTTCGGTCCGCGACCGGCCGCAGTGGTGACCACAGCGTGGTCTTCCCTCCCGAGGCACATTCAATATGCACGGCACAGGACACGCTCCGGACGCTCGTCGTGGCCACGACGACAGCAACTTGAATCAGAATCTCGGCCAAAACGGGGGGGAAAAGAGGTTGAGCAGCGGGAGCTGGCCGTGTGGTGATACGTTGACGACGACGGTAATGAACGAGTGTCATGGATAACCGTCGTGGCTCTCGTGACTTGTGCGGACGAAAGCAGTCCGCTGCCGACCCGTGCACCGCTCTTAAAATATGTACACACATACACACACACACACACACACACACGCACGCACGCACACACGTGTACACACATGCCTGTCACGTACCTGGACCTCGGTAGGAACATGGAGCCATCGATGAACACGGAGCCGGCCAGGAGGATGTACCAGCAGGACGACAGCTCACCGGTGCTGCGGGGAGGGGGGGAAAAGAGACACCATTGCATGAAATGAATTCAAACATGTCAACGCTAGACTTGTGTGTGCGCGCCAAAAAAATATTATGAAAAAAATCGATTCCTCCAGTCTCGTCATATTCTCCTCCCCCGATTTTGTGTTTCGCTCCAAACGCCCCAATATTCGATTATCCCATCCAATTTCCCTTTCATTTCCCTGCCGTTCCCCTCCAATTTCCTCTCACCCTCCCCCCTCCCCTCTCGCCCTCGTAGCCCCCGCTGCGCCGACAGACGACAACTCTTTAGGCCCTTGCTGGGCGCTGCCTCACGGCCCCACCCAACTAATTGGCCGTAGCCAATGGCCGTCCAGAGTGGTGCCGCGGCCCCCGTAGGCCTGCCGTAGGCCGTCTCGTTTGGCCCCGGGCCGGGGTCGTTGGGGGGCTCGGGGAGGCGGAGGAGAGGAGGAGGAGGAGGGGTGTCATGGGAGCACCAGGACACAATTGGAGTGCAAGGGACTCAACCGCGTCCACACCTCGTCAAGGCAACGGGACACCAGCGCGACCGAGAGGGCGGGCGCGGGGGCTCGCGGCCGGGTCGACGACAACGACTCCCCCGTCGTCGTGGTCGACTTTCGTCTCTCTCTTTCTCTGTCCGGAGCCGCTGTGCTTTGTAACGGTAGCCGACGGCTGACCACGACACGACGACGCTCGCGGGTCCGGCGGCGCGCGCGAGTGGTGCCGAAAATGCGGTCCTGTCGACCGCTTCAAAAAAAGAAACATGACTGCGGCAAGCAGGTAGGGCAGCGGGACGCGCGGCGAAAATTGGACCGCGAGGAGGAGGAGGCAGCAGGAGCACTTACTGGTAGAGGACGTCGTTGGCCTGGTGGCGCTCCAGCCGGGCCGTCCGGCTCACGGCGCGAAGGGTCACCTCCCTGCAGCCCGCGAACGCGTCCAGCCCCGTCAGCGCACCCTGGATCAGCTGCAGGTCCTGCGAAGGGGCACAAGCGACATAATTGTATTGGGATTTCGATTTTAACGATTAGGAATTTTTCCAGAAAAATTTCGGACTTGAAAATACTCCACACACGGAATCTCTACTTACGTGCAGCGTCCTGAAGTCTGGCGGGGTGCTGAGGGCGCGCAGCAGCTCCGCGTCGCCGCAGCCGCCGGGGCGGGGCACGGGCCGGGGCAGCGCCCGCATCCAGCCCGAGACCCCCGTGCCCGCGCCGCCCGGGGCCGCCTCGCGCATGGCCTCCCCCCGTGTCTACGGCATCACCTGCAACACCAAACACACACGAGCTCCGCGTCAGCACCACGACGTCGTCATGTCCGGCCCGACCTCGG